GTTCTATGATTCTATTACAGTGGTACCTCGGGTTAAGAACTTAATAAATTCTGGAGGTCTTTTCTTAACCTGAAACTGTTCTTAACCTGAAGCACCACTTTAGCTAATGGGGTCTCCCGCTGCTGCCACGCCGGCAAAGCACGATTTCTGTTCTCATCCTGAAGCAAAGTTCTTAACCCGAGGTACTATTTCTGGGTTAGTGGAGTCTGTAACCTGAATCATATGTAACCTGAAGCGTATGTAACCCGAGGTACCACTGTACATTTATTGAGCCTATAATCTGTGTAGTAGTGTATGCAGATAGCTGAGTAGTGTACATGTACAGTTATTGACGAGGGACGCGGGTGGCGCTGTGGGTAAAAGCCTCAGCGCCTAGGGCTTGCCGATTGAAAGGTCGGCGGTTCGAATCCCCGCGGCGGGGTGCGCTCCCGTTGCTCGGTCCCAGCGCCTGCCAACCTAGCAGTTCGAAAGCACCCCCGGGTGCAAGTAGATAAATAGGGACCGCTTATTGGCGGGAAGGTAAACAGCGTTTCCGTGTGCTGCGCTGGCTCGCCAGATGCAGCTTGTCACGCTGGCCACGTGACCCGGAAGTGTCTCCGGACAGCGCTGGCCCTCGGCCTCTTGAGTGAGATGGGCGCACAACCCTAGAGTCTGTCAAGACTGGCCCGTACGGGCAGGGGTACCTTTACCTTTACCTTACAGTTATTGACATGTAAGATTCAATGAGTGTACAGTTGGTGTATACAATAGCTGAGTACATATCAACAAGTGTACACTCTCTCACACAAATGCTTGTACATGTTCAGAGACAGCTTGTACCTGTCTTCAGTGTAACGGTGGTGTATCCAGTGCTAGTCAAAACTCAAAACCCCAAATGTTCCTATGGACCAAAGAAATTTGATGAGCCTTATCAGCATGGCTCTTAACAGTTGTTACTTCCCAGCATTTTGGAGCTTGAGTGACATATAGCATGTGGATCAAGGGAAGTAATAATAGTGGTCTATTCTGCACTGGTCTGACCCACCTAGGGTACTGTATCCAGTTCTGGGAATCACAGTATGAAAAGGATATTGACAAGTTGAAACCTGTGCAGAGAGTGACAACCAAGAAGATTAAGAGTCTGGAACCCAAGTTTTATGAGAAACCATTGTTGGCAATATTTAGCCTGGAGAAGAGAAGCCTGAGAGGTGCATACCCCCCAACATTTCTCAGATGAAAATAGGTACATTTTTCACTCCTCGGACCAACTGACACTCTTCGACCCCCCCATTTTTTGGTCCCAGCTCCTGCCAACCTAGTAGTTTGAAAGCACATCAAAGTGCAAGTAGATAAGTAGGTACCGCTCCAGCGGAAAGGTAAACGGCGTTTCCGTGTGCTGCTCTGGTTTGCCAGAAGCGGCTTAGTCATGCTGGCCACATGACCTGGAAGTTGTCTGCAGACAAATGCCGGCTCCCTCAGCCTATAGAGCGAGATGAGCGTGCAACCCCAGAGTTGTCTGCGACTTGACCTAACGGTCAGGGGTACCTTAACCTTTACCTATCACACGGTAAACCTTGCAGCCCTCCTGACTGTGCCACCAGAGACCTGAACAGAACATCTCCAGTGTTTATCACTTACATCCTCCTGCGCTCTGCAAGCAGAGCTGCTGGGGCTTATCAACCTGCAAAAGTTTCCCCAGAACACACGTGGGTCTTTTCTTGGAGTGGGGAGCGAAGGAGAAGAGAAAGCAAGTTGAAACAGGATTGGTTCCTCCTCTGGGGCGCGGTGGCCTTTTCCAGAGGACAGTTTAATCTTTTTAGAAACAGATGAATATAAGACTCAATAATCCGGTAATGCCAACGGTGGATGAGAAGAGAGGGAGAGAATTTCAATAAGGAAGGAATACAGGAGAAGAGCCCCAACTGCTGCAGTTTCTTCTGCATGTCTCCAGAATTTCATGCTGACAGATTCAGGCCTATGTTCCTTGACCTATATTTCTCAGTGAATGCCCATACTGGGCAACATCTGAAAATTCTCGAAACAAGGACTCTTCACACCTGCAATGGGTGGTGGGATTGTTCCCATAAGCTCTGCCTGCATGTTCAAAAGTTCCCAGCACATCCTGGAAGAAGACTCAAGCATACCTAATAATAATAATAATAATAATAATAATTTTTATTATTTAAATTTTACCCATCTGACTGGGTTGCCCCAGCCACTCTGGGTGGCTTCCAACATATATAAAAACACAATAAAGCGTTATATAGAGGTTGTATAGTTACTTATCTTAACTCCATACTGTCCAACATTTCTCCAATAAAAAAAGGGACAGCGAGATGAGTGCCGCAACCCGAGTCGGCCATGACTGGACCTAATGGTCAGGGGTCCCTTTACCATACCCTCCAACATTTCTCTGGTGAAAATAGGGATATCCTAAGGGAAAGTGGGACATTCTGGGATCAAATCAGAAACTAGGACGGCTTCTTTAAATCCAGGACTGCCCCTGGAAAATAGGGGCACTTGGAGGGTCTGCTTAAGGGTCAAGTAATGGGAGTAAGTTCATGTTTATTGATGTAGGTATAGAAGATCTGACAATAAATAACCAAATTGTGTAAGTACAAGCAGGTGGGATTGAATTAACATCTATGCGGGAAGTATCATTCAAATTACCCAGGTGTGTAAACCGCCTCATTCTGTTACTCCCCAGCCAAGAACTGGGAGGAAATGTTCCCTCCTTGCTGAGTGAACCCAACCTGTCCAGCATTCGCCAAGGTCTGCCCACTAGGCCTAAAGGACACCCTTTCAATCCCCTGCAGGCTGACGCCTGTGCAAGGTAACTCAAATGTGCCCCATATCTCATAAGGCCTTGAGGGGCTTGCCAGTTAGGTTCTGAAATTTCCTTATGTGACTGAACTGAATGCCAAAGATACCAAATACAAATGTAACAAGGTGTTCAAATGAACCCTACAGTAGTGAGCAGGTGGCCTGGGGCCAAATGGGGATTCCTCCCACATCCTGCTCAGTCCCCAAAAAGTGCAACTAAAACCAACAAAATACCTGCCTGATCACCCTCATCCACTGGGCACTCCTGCTCCCATGGCTGCCAGTCTCCCTCCCTTTGTCTTATCCCAAAGGTGTGGGAGAGGGGGAGAGAGAGAGAAAGAGAAATTTTCCCCCATTGAAAAGTGGGAGCAGCAAAGTGATTTGTTTATTTCATTTATGAATCACTTCCCATGAAGCATTCTAAGAGATTAACTATGAAAACATAAACGCCTCACGAATAAAGCGTATATAAAAACAATATCAAATTCAACACTGATACAGAATTGCTTATAACTTATTAAACAGCCTGTGCATGTAAAAGCAGATAAATTATGTCAAACATTCAAGGCAGGGGGCGGGACGGAGTGTTTGACAGAATCTGCATCTCCTGTTAATGGGGAGGTTGTGGGGGAGAATCTTTTTGATTCCACAGGCTGGATTCTTACTATATCCTGGCTTTGCAGGCCAAATTTGATAGGTGGGGAGGGCTAGTTACCTGTCAATGTGACCTCGCCATGTGGTTTGGGTGCTTTGAAGTCACACAGTCAGGACTTCAAAGCACCACATAGCTCTTGCAGAGAGTCATGCATGGTGCTTTAAAGCTCCTGAGACTGATAGGTGGTAGAGCTAAAGCTTGCTTTTGGCAGGTGTCACCTGAACCATTGAGTTATCGCTGGAACCAAACTGTCACACTTCAACTCTACTACCCAACAGCTGATAGGTGACACAGCTGAAATATTCCCTTTGCACTGGCAGATGCGTCTCTATCTGTCCCACGCATGACATCAGAGGTGTCAGGTGTCCCGAAGTTCCCATTTCGGGAAATGGGGAACTTGCTAGTGCAGCTGATTCTGTGAAAAGAGTCTCCATATGGGGACTTCACTTGCTCACCCAATTCATCAGATTGCAGCTTTACCATCCATAGAACCAAAGTCTGCTTTCCCTTGCAAGTGTCTTCTCAGTGCATATAACATCAGGTGTTGGTCAGATGGATGTGTTTTGGGTGAAAACCACCCGTTGGTCCAAATCTGAACCCATGGTGTGCCAATTTTGACTCACAGGCTGTAGATTTCCCATACAGTCCTGTAAGAACATGGGTTACTGGTGACTCAATGGACTCTATGGGTAAGAACTGACCAATGTACTACAAGCCATGTGTTACTTTTAAAAGAAATCATTGGACACCATTTTGAATCACATGTCGCTGGTGGGTAAAGCCAGAGGAAAAAGTTGGTGGAGCAATGAATGTAAATTTTACCATGATGCCGTAGGCTAGTTTCTACACACATCTACACACTCCTCTCTGTCCTCTATCAAGGAATGGAAGATGCTTTACTGGAGTTCAAGGACACAGCCCAGGCAGGCAAAAGCCACTGGGATGTGAAGCAGGACTAGCAAGAAGTGTGGCTTAAGAAGAGGGTTTCTGGCCTGGGGACAGTCCTAAGGGCCAGTTAGACAGGTCTAGAGGGTCACATTTGGTCCCCAAGCCTGAGCTTCCCTCCTCTGGATGGAGAGCGACAAAATGAATGGATCACTCTGGCAGAGAAAGTTCAGTCACTGCAAAGTAGTGCTTAGATGTGTTATGACCTACAACCCCCACATCGGAGCTGGCTGATTTTATTCCAGTAGAGAAATATCAAGTCTGGCAGTTTTCCATCATCCCTACGATTAAGTCCAGCAATCATTTCAAGCATTCTTAAATGTGATGTGTGTGTGTGTGTGTGTGTGTGTGTGTGTGTGTGAACTGTGGCTGATTAACAAAATGCTCTTTGCCCTCAGGTTAATAACAGATTTCTCAGTCCTGCAATGGAGTAATTATTAGTTAAGGAGTTCTCAGCATGAGTTTTTGATACGCTCAAGCCAGCTGGCATCAGTATGAATTAACACTAAGATGTAGCTGCTGTGTGTGTGTGTGTGTGCGTGTGCGTGTCTGCATCATTTTCAAACCTAACTCTGTCTGTTCAACATTCAAAGCACAGATTCCGTGACCCACCCCAGTACAAATTCAGAATTTGAGAAGAAGAAATTATCTACTTGCACCCAAATCCACTTTACTTCTGGTGATGGGGATATTTGGCAGCAGTTTAAAGTTGGAGAACCTACAAACCCCTGAATCTACAAAGTTTCATTCTGAACAGCCTTACAACTGCTGCCAGAGGTACGTTGCAAGTGTTTGCATTTCATAGATGGATAACAGAGAAACAACTGCTGCACTTTAGTGCCCATAGCATGGCCCAGAGGCTGTAAAGGGATAGCTCCGTTGGTAGAACATGAGACTCTTAATCTCAGAGTCGAGAGTTGGGCAGAAGATTCCTGCATCACAGGAGGTTGGTCTAGATGACCATTGTGGTCCCTTCCAGCTCTCTGATTCTATGATTCTGTTACTATAGCGCTGTGGTTGAGCATCTGTCTTGCATGCATAAGGCAGGTGGCAGGGGCCCAGTCTCCAACATCTCCTGGTAGGGCTGGGAAGGAGCTTAGTCCAAGACCCTGGAGAGCTGCTGTCCATTGTTGTGGACAATACTGAGCAAATGGACCAGTGGTCTGACTCAGTATGATGTAGCATCCTATATTCCCAAGGCAGCTACATGGCATATTATAACTGCATTTACTTTGTGTTACAACTGTAGACTTTATTCAGTTAGGACTATGGCATCTAGAAGTAGGGCTGTAAGTCAGTGGCAGAACAACAGCCTTGCATGCAGAAGCTCCCAGGTTCAACCTCTGGGTAGGGCTTCACGCTGGAGAGCCACTGCCAGTAAGCATAAACAAGCTAGATAGGCCAGTTATAAGGTGGCTTCCTGTGTCCCTGTGGTCCTACCCCCTCCCTCCTTCCCTCCCTCCCTGGAGCAGCCATCCAAGGTGGAATGGGAAGATGGAGTCCCCACACCACCTTGCTGTCTGAGAAGTAAGAACCTGCAGCTTCAGGTGAGATCTCAGGGAACACTTGTGAGGTCTTGTAGAGCTCTGTGAGATCATGCTGGAAGTTACTGCTGTTGCTTCTCCTCACTTCTCCAGTGGTGGTGGCAGGGCTGGGTGGGGCACCAATGGAGGTGCCACCCCATGGGTTTCTGCTGCCTGAGGCAGCTGCCTTAGTCTTGTGGGTGGGCCGGCCCTGATCCCACCTTCAGATTTTTTATTTAAAAAAATCTGAAAAAGGAACTGAGAAACTGAGAAACAAGCAACAAGACTGGCATAACGAGATAAAGGCAGACTGACTTGCTCAAGGCCAGTCATCAAGTTCCCCCCTACCACACTCCCATTCAATATTTTAGTTAATTTTTCTTTTTTTAGCCTCCAAGTGAAGATATTTCTATTCCACCCAGGTTTTTAATTGCTCCTCTGCAAATTGTTTTTAACTGCTGGAGTCTTGGAGCAATCGTAAAGGGTCTTGTGTCCCTTGGCATGGCTTTTATCGTTGCTCTTTTTAGCTTTGTTTAATGTACTGCTGCTTTATTGACTTATTTTTATGTTGCTTTGAATGTACTATTGTGTTTTGCAAATTGTGTGTGTGTGTGCATGTTTGTGTGTCTTATCACGGAAAAAGCAACATGCCCATGAAGAAGAAGGAAAGCCCAGCTAGTGCAAAATGCTGTTAACTTCCTTTTTTTATATTGAATTTGTATACAGATCTCCCTCCTGAAGGAGCCAGATTCTCACCAGTTCTCACCAGTTCACACAGTGGCCAACCAGATGATCCAGTAGGAATCCCAAAGGCAGGACCTGCACACAACAGCACTCTCCCCACATGTGATTCTCAGCCACTGGTACTCAGCAACTGGTATTGCCTGCATCAATGGAGGTAGAATATAGCCAGTGTGGTTTTTAGCCATTGATAGTCTTGTTCTCCATGAATTTGTCTAATCCTCTTTTGAAGTCATCTGCATTGGGCCATCACAACTTGTGTAGTGCCAGTGAAAGCACAACAAAGCACCCCAGTACTTAGTACAGTGGTACCTCGGGTTAAGAACTTAATTTGTTCTAGAGGTCTGTTCTTGACCTGAAACTGTTCTTAACCTCAGGTACCACTTTAGCTAATGGGGCCTCCCGCTGCCGCCGCACCCTCTTGTCTCTGCCCAGATCCCTCAAGGCCCCAGACCTCTCCAAAGCCCCGTGAGCTATTAACCACAGTTTGGAGGCCTACAGCCTCTTATCAACCCCACCATTACTCAGACCATTTTCCTAGTTGCTGGTTGAGCTGATCACGAGCAAGAGGCCAGCTCAACTGCTTCTTTCATACTCTTGTTTTTGTCCAAAAAATGAATTCCCCTTGGTTCTAAGGCGCTGGCTAGCTCATGGGGCTCCTGCCACTGTGTGTATGGAAAGAGTGAAAATGTAGCCATAAAGTCCCTCATTATGTTTTACAAGTCTCAAGAGGACAAACAACACCCCCCCCCACTCTGCAGCTAAAAGTTATTTTTCAAACAGTACCCCAATTCAACTAAGGACATCACAGAATTGTAGAGTTGGAGGGTACCCCAACGGTCATTTAGTCCAACCCCCTGCGAGGCAGGATATGTTTCAAAACAACACCTGAAATCTGAGGCAGAGACTTTTCACCCATTTTTGTGGGGGGGGCGGGAATGCCTTCCATTGTTCCTGGAAAGTATACAAATGAAAGTGATTTGAAAAATGTTACATGGGGGGAAAAATACGAGAGAGAGACATTGCACACACTTTTGTAAATTAAGAAAATCTTTAATAAAATTAATAATAATGATGATGATGATGATGATGATGATGATATAGTGGGCACCTGTCATATTTCACTGGGGATGCTGCTCCAAAAAAGAAGGGCCGTTGTGCTGAAAGCCTTGTTCCGAGTTACTTATCTGGGTGGGCAATGTAGCTGTTGATGAAGCTGAGTCCATTCTGTGGGGCTGGTTCAGTGTTTAGGCCTTGTAACATGTGCTTTTAAAACAAAACAAGAAAAAGCAACCTAAGAAGAATCTCTCCCTGTAACATTTATCATCATTTCTGCCTCCTGGCTAATGAACACCTAAAGCGATTTTCTATTGCTCGTAATTCATCCAAAATTGTTCTAAATGATAGGAGGAAGCAAATTGACAGGTTAATATGGCCTCTTGCTTTCTAGGGGAGAGGGGAGCTGATTGGGGCTTCAGTGGCTATCCAGGGGTCCTTCAGAATTCAGATAATATCATTGCTGGATTAAATCAACGATCTGAAGGTTGAAAACAAAAGAGGGGGAAGGGGAGGAGGGAAGCAATCAGCAGGCCTGAGTGTAAAATACGTCAGTGCTTCATTGTGAATTGGACATGGCAAAATGGCCTCTTTCTGCTTATGCAGTAAGGGCCCAGTACTGTTAATAGCTGAAGATCAAGCAGATATTTCCTCTCTCACAGCTTCATGTGCTTACTTACTTATCTTCATATCCATTATGAGCCACTCTGAGCACAAACTAGATTGGTGGCAAATAGGGAATGGAAAGGAATTTGGTTTGGTTTGTATTTTAATGCAAAACCACTTGATTAGTGCTTCCTGAAACAATACGTGAAACAAGATGCAGCTACCCTTTGAAATCCGCACTCCTCTGAATTTCACAGAAGCAGTTCTCCCTCCTAAAAACGTACAAAATGAACATACTAGGGGAAAGTATGCATAAAGGTGCGTAAGTTAGTGAAGCTACATACAAAAACTGCTTTATATTAGGGGCATTGGGAAGAACTGCATACAACAAGGTGCATATTCAGGAGAAATGCAAACTAAAAGGCTGAAGAATCTTCAATGGGACTTAAAAAAAACAAACGAAACCAAGAATATATATGCCCTCCCCTTGTCAGGGCACAGTGGGAGTGTCTCTCACAGAGTTCTCTCTAGAAAATTTATAGGAAAACTGAGCTTCAGCTCCTATCATGTGCCTTTCTAGCAAAACATGAATTGTTGGTTTTGACTGCAGTTTAAATATCCAACACCAAGGTTTCATAGCTGAGTGGGGATTTGAAGCCTGGTCTCCCAAGTTCTGGGGACACGGGTGGCACTGTGGGTTAAACCACAGAGCCTGGGACTTGCCGATCAGAAGGTCGGCCGTTCAAATCCCCGTGACGGGGTGAGCTCCCGTTGCTCGGTCCCTGCTCCTGCCAACCTAGCAGTTCGAAAGCACCTCAAAGTGCAAGTAGATAAATAGGTACCGCTCCAGCAGGAAGGTAAATGGCATTTCCATGCGCTGCTCTGGTTCGTCAGAAGCGGCTTTGTCATGCTGGCCACATGACCCGGAAGCTGTACGCCGGCTCCCTGAGCCAATAAAGCGAGATGAGCACCGCAACCCCAGAGTTGGCCACGACTGCACCTAATGGTCAGGGGTCCTTTACCTTTACCTCCCAAGTCCTAGTCCTGCACTTTAACCATTACACCATATTGGCTCTGTGCTACACAAGTTGGTCAATGGTTTAAGTGACATGGAATCATACAGAGTTCATCATATATCCCACTGGTCATGTGATTGCTCCATCTGCTTGAAACTCAGTGCATGTTGACCCTACCGCCATCAATCCTTTTATAGCTCCATCATTTCCATCTGGTTGTAGTCTGAGAGAACAAGATGCTGGACTGGTTGAGTCATTCTTTTGACCCAATACGATCTTTTTTTTGTCAGACAACAAACACCAACTGCCATCACTGGCTAAACTGTCACCATGGTTAGAGGAGTGGAATCCACACTGTGAGAAGACAAAGGTCCATGGAGGGATAGCAATCTGTGCTGTCTGGTGTACAAATTTCCACAGGTGCCTTCTGCATACAAACATACTGATCTGCCTCATACTGATTCAGGCCACTGGTCTATCTAGCTTAGTATTGTCTACACTGACTGGCAGTGGCTCTCCAGCTTTGGAGTGGGGGTCTCTCCCAGACCAATCTGTAAATGGATCATGGGAACTTCTGCATGCAAAACAGTTGCTCTGTCACCAAGCCAGAGTCCTTCACAGCCTTTTGAGGTATGACAAGTGTGTAGATATCACCAGAAAGCATGACAGGCATTGGTGGTAATAGGGTTCAACTTGTTCAGCTGGTTCAGGTGAGGTCACAACCATAAAGAAAATGCACAATTTTCACAGATACCTAGATATGTCCCAAACTCCCATGAAATAACCACTACAAAAGTCATGGAAGGGCCATAGCCTGAGATGTCAACTTGAACGGAAGATTGGGGGGCTGATGACATTCAGGCTGGAGCCGAGCGCAACACTGGAGAGCTGTTGCGAGTCAGTGTAGATAACACAGAGCTAGGTGGACCAGTGGTTTGACTTAGCATAAGGCATCTTCCTTTGCTTCTAAAGGTAAAGGTAAAGGGACCCCTGACCATTAGGTCCAGTCGCGGACGACTCTGGGGTTGCAGCGCTCATCTCGCTTTATTGGCCAAGGGAGCCGGCGTACAGCTTCCGGGTAATTTGGCCAGCATGACTAAGCCTCTTCTGGCGAACCAGAGCAGCACATGGAAACACCGTTTACCTTCCTGCCGGAGAGGTACCTATTTATCTACTTGCACTTTGACGTGCTTTTGAACTGCTAGGTTGGCAGGAGCAGGGACCGAACAACGGGAGCTCACCCTGTTGTGGGGATTCAAACCAACAATCAAATAAAGAAAAGCAGTCAAAATCAGTATTTGGAAAACCAACCATAAAATTCAGCAAAACAGATGATAAAACCTATAGCCAGCTTGCAGATACCAGGTTGAGACAAAATTTAAAAGGTATTCATCTGCTGCTAAGTGACACCAGAGTCGGTGCTGCCCTCTGGAACAGCACCCCACTATGACTAAAATGACTAAAAAGACCACCTCTGAATTGAACACCTGCCTAACTGCAGGTGGGGAGAGGCAAATCTGAGAAGGGTCCCTCAAGGTTCAGGCAGTGTCAGGAATTGCGGGCACATTTATGTGAGGCTGCCCTTTTGTGGTGATTCATCAAACTGCAAGTGGCAGTCTTCATAGTGAAAAACCTTTGGGACTGACTCTGTTCACCTAGGTCCTGGGTTGTGTTTTTTTTTGGGGGGGGGGGTTAGGAAGGAACAGAAATGGCTTCCTTTTCAAGCTCATACTTGCTTGAGCAAAATGATCCTTCCAGTATTTTTCTTCTAGAAAGCTGCTTCTGCTACTTACCATGAAGTTCTTACAGTTAAGTGCCACACTTTTAACCAGCGCTGTTCTTCTAGGAATAAAAGGTGCCAGTACTTCGTACCCTTGAGTACCCCCAGGAGGAAAAAGCACTGATCCTTCTGAGCTCTGGAGTGTTTCTGTATTCTGATTGATTTCTCCTGTCTTATTCTCACAATCCAAGGGAGAAGTCCTTGATTTCATCCCCTAAGAAGAAGAATCTGATTGCAGGAGCATGACTCTGAGGCTGATGGGAGTAGGAGTCAAGGGTGCAGTTTCCCTGACATACATTCACATCAAAGAGCATCTTTAATAATATATATACATATATTTTAAAATACTGCTTTATTGCAATGCAGTGTTTAATCAGTGCACATTAGCAAGGTGGAGAGAGCCCTGGTGAATCAGATTAGCTAGTCCAGCATCCTGTTTCCCACAATAGCCAATCAGATGCATCTGGAGAGCCCATAAGCTGGACAGCCTTTCTCTGTGTCCTGCATTGTGATGTGGAGAAAAGTGGAAAGAGAAAAGTTTTCCTCCCCTTCTCTAATACTAGAAAATGAGATCACCTAGCAGGGCTGAAGGGTGGGAGGCTCAGAATCAGCAAATGGAAGGACTTCTTCACATAACATGTAGATACGCTATGGAACTCATGGCCACCATATATAGTGATGAAATAAAAAAAATTAAGG